CTACAATAAATCAAAAAATCAGCCGGGCATGGTAGCACATGCCTGTAATTCCGGCTACTCGGAAGGCTGAGGCGGAAGGATCACTGGAGCCCAGTAGGCGAGGCTGCGGTGGCCGGCAGCAGCCACTGCACTCCAGTCTGGACGACAGAGTGAGACTCCAACTCAAAAAAAAAACAAAAAAAACAAAAAACTAGGCTGGGCATAGTGGCTCACGCCTATAATCCCAGCACTTTGGGAGACTGAGGTGAGAGGATTGCCTGAGCCCTCATGTTTTGAGACCAGCCTGGGCAGCTTAATGAGACCTCATCTCATCAAAAAAAAATTAGCCAAGCATGGTGGCGCGTGCCTGTAGTTCCAACTACTGGAAGGCTGATGCAGAAGGATTGCCTGAATCCAGGAGGTCGACGCTGCGGTGGCAGTGAGCATGCCACTGTACTCCAGCCTAGGCAACAGAGTGAGACTCCAACTCAAACAAGCAAAACAAAAAAACCAAAGCAAAAAACTTTTAGAAAGTGCTAAGCTGAAGGAATTATTGCTAGTATTTAGAGGAAAAATTCTTCATACTGTCATCAGTGAGGAGTTAGTTACTCCTACATCAGTGTCTCCAGCTACTGAAATATATCTGGGTACTTAAAAATATTCAGAATCCCACAGCCGGGCTTGGTGGCTCAGCCTGTAATTCCGCACCTTTGGGAGGCTGAGGTGAGTGGATTGCCTGAGCCCGCGGGTTCGAGACCCGCCTGGGCAGCGAGACCTCATCTCTACAATAAATCAAAAAATCAACCGGGCATGGTAGCGCATGCCTGTAATTCCGGCTACTCGGAAGGCTAAGGAGGAAGGATCGCCAGAGCCCAGCAAGTCGAGGCTGCAGTGGCCGGGAGCAGCCACTGCACTCCAGTCTGGGCGACAGAGTGAGACTCCAACTCAAAAAAAAAAAAAAAAAAAAAATATATATATATATATATATATATATATATATGCAGAATCCCTTTTGGAGCTTGCACAGTTTTTTCTAAATGTAAATTATACATCAGAGTCATTAAAAATGGTTCCAGGCCAGGTATGGTGGCTCTCGCCTATAAGCCTTAGAAGGCCTAGATGAGAAGATTGCTTGATCCCAAAAGTTCGAGACCAGTCTAGGCAATATAACAAGGCCTTGCCTCTATAAAAAATTTGCCAGGTGTGATGCCATACCTGTAGTCCCACTACTTAGGAGGCTGAAGCAGAAGGATGTGAGCCCTGGAGGTCGAGGCTGCAGTGAGGTGACAGAATGAGACTCCAGCTCAAAAAGAAAAAGAAATGAATTCCAGGGCTCTGGAAGTTCTGATTTTGTAAGTCTGGAATATTCTAGGTAATAGCTGGGGTTTGAGATCAGCTAATGTGGTTATGATATCTGTCCTGTGGGTTTTCTAAGTGTATCATTTTTGTCAAATAGCAACTCTTCATTGTAACACATCTTTGAAGCCATTGTCCAAGACGACTGACTCACATATTGGGACAACTTACAGCTGACTGTCTTTTCCCTTCCTACTCATTGGCTACAGGTATAGCCATAAAACTGTTTTGGGCCAACAGTACCACCTGATGGTCATTATAGAAAACTAAGATATGCTGTATCTTCACTTTCTTCTTATACCTCCAGACAATTCAAATCACACCAGGCTTTACCCCTTGCCTGATTTGACTAGTCACAACTTGACTATTTATATCCTACATATTCTCTGTACTCATGGGTATGTGTGGTGTTTTGCTTAGTTAGTTTTTTTGAGTCAGGGTCTCAGTCTTACCCAGGCTGGAGTGCAGTGGCACGTCATGGCTCATCACAGCCTCCAACTCCTGGGCTCAAGTGATCCACGTATCAGCCTCCCAAGTAGCTGGGACTGTTGATTGCCCCACCATGCCTGGCTTTTTTTTTTTTTTTTTGTAGAGGTGAGCTCTTGCTATGTTGCCCAGGTTGGTCTTGAACTCTGGCCTTTGAACGCCTGGCCTCAAACAATCCTTCTACCATGCCCAGCTCATGCATGGTGTTTTAAACTTCATTCTTCCTTCTTTACTCTTTATTCTTGCCCAGATGCCTCAGAAAAACTCATCCTTTTCTTCTTTGTATTTTTTTGTTCTGTGAGCTAAATGCAACCCTTTGGCGATCAGAATTATGTTAGTAATGATAAATGAGAAGTCAGTGGGGGGTGAGAAGTGAAATCTAGATACTGATGAAAAGTGCTATCTTTACTGATGTGTCTATCTTTAGCTCCTCCTTAAACTTTATAAAGTGGTGGCAAAAGAATAAAAAAGGATAAATCCACAAGGGCAAGGGGAATAGGAGAAGAGATAAGAGACAAAAAAAATGGGACAACATGTTTTTTGAAGGAGAGACAGCAGATGAATGAGTGTGAGAACTGTTTTGGTAGAGCAGATGATAAGAGTGTAAAGTAAGAAAGATAAATTGTTTCTGTTCACGATATTGTCCCATGTCACCTTTTTTTTTTCTTTCTTTTTGAGTTGGAGTCTCACTCCGTCACCCAGACTGGAGTGCAGTGGCCGCTCCCGGCCACCGCAGCCTCGACCTGCTGGGCTCTGGCGATCCTTCCGCCTCAACCTTCCACGTAACTGGAACTACAGGCGCACGCTACTACGCCCGGCTAATTTTTTTTATTTATTGTAGAGATGAGGTCTCACCAAGTTGCCCGGGCGGGTCTCGAACCCGTGGGCTCAGGCAATTCACTCACCCTGGCCTCCCAAAGCGCGGGATTATAGGCTGAGCCACTGAGCCCAGCCCCACGTCACCTTTTAGGGAGGATTGATTATGGTTTCAAGGAGGAAACCAAAGTTTAAAAGAAATTTCATACTGTGTTAGTGCCCAAGGCCTCTGAGGGCCTGGAATCCAGACCTGGAGCCATCAGGAGCCAGGGAAGTCTCTCCAGTGTCATTGCTTCCTCTCTGTGTATCACTGCTTCTTTTTTCCCGTGCTGATCAGCTTCCCTTGCCACCCACATGATGGACGGTGGCCTTGCACAGCTTCCAAGTTCGGAGGTTGTCTCGGTGTGAGGCTGGAATCTCTCTGCCCCAATTCAGATTCTTAGGGAAGGGACCATGCCCAGCTCAGGTCAGGGTACCACCCCTGCTCTCATTAGCTGTGGCCACAGAAGTGCGCCCACATGTACCAACCATGCCCACCCCTGTAACCAGCTGGTGGGGCAGAAAGAGACCCTAAAAGATGTCTTGTACACTCTTCACATTCAACTTTAGTGAAAGGGATTGTGATAGCCTAATATGCCCAGTAACTAGTGAGGAAATCTCCAGCTAGGCATGGTGGAGGAGTGAGGAATGGTGTGGGTGTCACAGTTCTCTCCTTCCTGGATGTAAAAAGTCTGTCCTCTAGTTTCCTTTTGCCTTTGAAGATACTGTCAGTCCTTTCTGGCCGCCTCCTTCCTCCAGTTTTCTCCCTGCCATCCCCATCCCACCCTCGACCCTTCCACTCCCTGCTACAGTGAATACTCCAGTGTTGCTCTGACCTTGATCCTGGCATCATCCTCCCTTGTTTCAGCTCAGGGGAAGCTCAAGCTTTACATATGTTATTTCATTTTCACAACAACTTGGCCTCCCCTGGATTCCCTCTAGGCTCTGGATTCCAGCCTACTTGGCAGGGCCTGTGTTCCTCTCTGCCCTCAGTGGCTCTCACAGACTCTTTCTCCTCAGTTGTCGCCTTTCCCTCATATCTTTGCTCTCAGCTGATGAACTTACTACTTCCTTTTCTGAAAATACTGAGGCATCCACTCAGGCTCTCTCAGAGACTGTTAACCATTCAGAAAAAACAGAGTCACGTGACAAACCACACACATGGCTCAGAGATGTTAGGGATTCCGTTCCAGTGGCAATAAAGCAAGTTACACATATTTTTTTTTATTTCTTGGTACATGTAAAAGTTATGTTTCAACTGGGCGAGGTAGCTCACACCTATAATCCCAGCACTTTGGGACTGAGGTGAG